GTGAAGAAGATGAAGATGATGACATGACTGATGAGGAATGGAATCATCATCAGGCTATCATAGCCATGTTTAGACAAGGAACGTCAAATTCTTTGTCCCATACAAATAAAGATGTCCAAATTAATGAAGAAGATGATGTCATTAATAAGATGGACGACATTATAAATGCATTCTTAGATGAATATTTTTCTGATAAAGAAAATGATACATTAGATAATGTATCTAAAGTCTCAGAACCCTTACCCATATTAGGGTTAGTAGACACAAATGATAAAGATACACTGGATAATGTATCTTTAATCGAAAAACCATTGTCTAGGTTAGACAATACAAATAGTGATACATTAGATAATGTATCCATAATTTCAGAACCCTTATCAACATTAGGGTTAGTAAATACAAATGAGGGATCAAATAGTTATCAACCTCACAACTATCAGTTACTTCCTGATGGTATACACAATTACTCTGTAGGTTTTCCTCCTAGAGTATCACCACAAAATGTTGTCTTTAGTGACAACCAATACACAACATTAGGCAAGAGGCTTCCGATAGAGCCAAATTTCCAAATGCCTAATCTTCTTTTAAACATAGGAGGAATAGATCCTCAACTATTGCCAACATACATTGAGCAATGGACTGCAGCTGTAATCCGTGATTATGGCATACACCATGAGAAGGATGTTCACTCTTCTCAAGATATGATTGCTAAAGCTGAAACCTATTTAGGTGATATAGCTAGAGCTTGCTGGGAATCTTTTAAGAAAAATTACCCAGCCGACTTAAATATGTTTGTGATCGAACCAGGTCCTAACATATACAATTTTTGTTCTTTATTACAAAAATTGCTTACTTCCCAGTCTGCTAATGATGGGAACACACTCAGACAACAGATTTATCTGGGTCATTTAGAAAGACTTTCCATAACATACTTTGGAAAGATAAAAGAATTTTTACAAGATTATCTCATGTATGCATCCATAGCTGGATGTTTCCATGATTTAAACATTGGAGAAAAGATGTTTCTCAAACTACCAGGAAAACTTGGCCAAAAGATCCGAGAATCCTGGAAAAATGAAGAGGTTACTCCCATGTTGAACAACCTCTCTATACGTATACAACACATCATGAAAGTGATGGAAGATACGTGTACACATATTGCTATACAAAAGCAATTAAAAAATTCCGATGCTGGAATTTGCAAACAAATTTATACTCCTCAGCAGTATAATCAAAACAAGCCTTACAGAAGGCCTATACCTAGAAGTAAACCTAGGTATAATAAAAACTACAATCAGAATTCTTATTCTGAAAGACAAAAACCCATAACTTCTAGAAAGACTTACACGATTAGGTCTTCAAATTCTAGAAAATCAACTCTAAATCCTGATAGACACGTCAGAAAATTTAGAGAAAACAAAACATACAAGCAAGCTTTGAAATGTTTTGCTTGTAATCAACCGGGACACTTCTCTAGAGATTGTCCTAACATTACAAACCTTTACACTAAAGAGGCAGAATTGATAAAATCCTGCCACATGAACCTTCTTCCAATAGATGAAGATGTTTCTACTGACTCTGAAATACTATCAGTGATTAGTATTACAGAGTATAATGATGAAATCAATTTAGACAAAAGCCATAAAGATTATGGCCTAATAAATGATTTCACAAATAATGAATTCATTCACCTTTATCCTAACGAAAATGATTTTCAACTGGATAATAAATATAATGAATTAGGAAATATATTAGACGATTATGGATATTGTCTAATGAATACTAGTTTCTTCTTTTAAGGAAACTAACAAAAAGGTTTTGCAGAGTTCCTTTAGTTATACAGGTACTAATATGGCAAACCCAATCAACAAAGGCAAGTTACCAGCCTCAACAACTGAAGAGTTTGACACTCTAAAGTTTTGAACACAGCATCTTCCGGTTTTACCAGAAGGTCACCCTCAACAATTCAAATGTCTGAGGAACTGTCCTGTTTCAAGGGAACAAAAGGTATTACTTGATGCTCTTCATCGAGCTTGTAATACTACTACTAAATTTAATGCTATTACTGCATTAAATTATTACTTTGCAAAAATATTGCCCGCTGGTTTTAAAAAACCCAAGAAAGAGGCCTACTGCCTTTTTACTGGAGACAAGCGAGGCGTCTACCTATCATATCCCTCTCTGTTGAAGGCGATAGGTAATGACAAACACAGCAAATTTCAAGGATTTGATAACCTTGAAGAAGCAGTACATGCGATGGTCAGCTATATTGGAGGTGACAACAGCCTGTTAGACCATCCCGAAGTTGGTAATTTCATTTTTGAAAAACCAACAAAACAAAAGAATTTTTCAATTTATGATTCCATTAAACTAAGACAACGCTTGGCTTTTGCCAAGAAAATGGAACAAAAATTGAAAAACTCTTTTTCTTTCCAGAAAAATGATTTTCAAAAACATATTTCCCGTTTGGAAATAGAAAATAAAGATTTAAAGATCGAAATCCTAGAACTCCGTGAAAAGATGGACTATGATTTCGAAACCATTGATTATGGAACTTTTACAAATAAAATGGCCTATGTTGGGTCATTCAAAAGAAAATTTTTGGGACAACTTCCCGGCCCAATCCAAGAAAAAATCTACGAACAGGTTTTTGTTTCCTTGTTAGTAGAACTTGGAGCACTACAAAACTGGTTATTCCAATTACCAGTAGACTCTACACTCCGCCTATACTTGAGGATAGTCCAATATCAAGATGATTCGGCACCCTCATCTTCCGATCAGTACAACATCGGAATAAACCCTTATTTGGTGGAATGTGATCCTGCTTGGATCGATAAACAATTAACTGAAGATTTATTCTTTTCAGGATTCATGAAAAGGATGATAATTTTCGAAAGCTGTATGATAGAACCATTTTTCGGTACCAAGATAAATTACTTGGATAAATGCGTTCTTTCGAAACAATTACGATGAAGAATATTTCATTGAAATATTCTCAACACACCCCTACAAGCATAAAAGGGAATACTATCCAGCTAAACATCACTTGTTTCCGGATACTGAGTCTTTCACCGATATCGGTTTCGAGTGATAATCTCCAAAAGATTGATCATATTAATCCTCCTTTCACTACAGCGAGGTATGATCAATTCCAGGATGAAGATATCCATAAAGAGGCTGTTGCAGAAACCACCACCATCAGTCTTTGGGTGAAATTTGGCAAAGCTGCTCATGTACAGCGGAACTGTACAAATCCCGCCTCCCCACAACCAATGAGTCTTTCTGATAAAGACGACTTTACCCTTGAAGATTTCGAGGAACTCCTAATGACGTAATCTCTCACATCATTAGCCACACAAAGACCATATTGCCCTTGAAGGTTTCGAGGAGCTTCGCATGACGTAAGCCCTTACGTCATACACGGCTGTATCAAAAGACGACAAAGGTTAATGGCAGATAATGATATCTTGCTACCTTGTCACGATTCCTCTTCCGTTACATGTTGTTAGGCCCATTAAGCCTTGCATGTTAATGACGGTAAGATTGAATCAGTCTTTTGATAAAAAAAAAAAAAAAAAAAAAAAAAAAAAAATTTGAATGAATGTCACTATTTTTGTCTTGTAGTGACGTTACTATTTTTGTTTTGTTTTTAGTAAGGAAGTTTTCTCCGTAGGATTACTTCTTTGCTAAGTTTTGAGACCCATTAGTCATAAAGTGGGTCCCACATGTAAATTACTATTCATTAGTTTAATATTTTTGTTTTTCTATATAAGGCTTCGTAAGTCCCTTATGCTCGAGCGAAGTTTTCTACTTCCCCTCTCTCTCCTCCCTCTCTTCTCCTCCTTCTCTCTACTTCTCCCCGCTTATGTAAATTTCTTATTATCAATAAGAGAAGTTATTCAAGCATCTCCCTCTCCTTCTCCTTCTCTTCCCCCAAGTAAGTGATTTACTGCTCCGCCTTTATGGAGTAGTTTTCTTATAAGGGCGTCCTCGGATGCCTTAAGCTTTATTTATTTAAAGATGCGATAATCATTTAAAGGCTTAAATAATTTTTGTACAGCTTTATTTGGGTTCATATAAGCTTCTGAGGAGATGTCTAACCGGCTTTGCCAGATTCAGTCATCTCATAATCTTATCATGGACTTGTGTGTTTATTTTTCCTGTCTTTAAATTTCTGCATTTAATTTCGTTCATGTAAGCTTATGAGGAGATGTCTAACCGGCTATGCCGGATTCAGTCATCTCATAATCTTATTGTGAACACTTTTCTTGCTATAACCGACTTTATCTCGGACAGTCTTCATTTTAGCTAGCCGATTTCGGGTTCTCTGTGAGCTAAGTAGCCACGTTGGCCGAACAGAAGAGATAAAGAGTTATAACATGTTTTAATTTATTTGTTTTCTGTCTCTTTACTTTCCTCCTTTCCATCCCCTTTCGGGTCTCGGGCGGTTTATTCCGGGTTCGTTCCGGTTTTCTCTGTCTTGTTTGCCCTTCCGGTATCCGAGCGGGTTTTCCCCGCTTTCTGCGTACCTTTTGTTTTTTGGGGTACTCGGTTATTCGAGTTTCCACCCCTCCTGTTCCCCTCTCTCTCTAATGTATCACTTTTTATGTTGTCTATCCAAGACAAAGGTTACTGGACCTAATTGAATATATTTAATTATACTTATTTCAAAATAATTTTTTGAATTGAATTTTTCGACTTAATTAATGTTTTAAAATAAAAATAAAAATTTGTATATGTGCAGAGTAAAAAAAATGTCTTAGAAAAGTCACAAAATTTATCTAAAAGTTAACATAATAATACATATTTTGAAAAGATTTTGTAAAAATATTATTCAAACATTTTTTTAAAGTTTAACAAAAATAAATAGTCATTCGTAATATAAATTAAATCAAACTTATGCTTAGTTTATTCTAGAAAGAAGGAAAGCAGGAGAAAAAAAAAATCAACACCGCAAATTCATCTTGAACATCGGAATCTCAGCGGCAGAACACCTTTTTATGGCAACCAACAATTCTCAAGTTTATCACGAAAGGCAAAGATTACAGTTCTGTCTTGTGCATTCTCTCAACTCCCTCTTTCAGGTGCTTCCTCCCTTTCCCAATCACCGATTCTTCAATTTCAGCCCTGTCAAAGAATACCAATCACTGTTTTAATTTCCAATTCAGTTTCTTTTTGCATAATTTCACTGATTCACGTTTCTTTCTGCTTTTGGGTCTATTCAATTTCACTTCGATCAGCAAAAAGATGCTTTCACTCGGGAAAAGTTGAATGAAATCTCTGAAAGACTTGCAGTTGAAGATTCCAACTCTGAATCGTGGACCCCACTTTCTGTTCTTTTCAAGCCCCATTACAATGCCTTGACTGGAAACTATGACATAAATGTACTAATTGCGGCTTTGGAGGAGAAAGGTAAGTGTTTGATGTGGCATGATCGTAGAAGGGGGGCATCTTGCATTGATCTTGATGCACCTGTTTTGATGGGGATTGTGATCAATGTGTCGGTGGCAAGGTTTGGTGGGATGTGGAGAAGTAGACACTGGATTGCATTGAGGAAGATTGATGGGGTTTGGTATAACTTGGACAGTGACCTTGCTGCTCCTCAACCTTTTCTTGATGCACATAAAGTAAGGCAGTTCTTGGATTCTACATTGTCACGAGGTGGGGAGATTTTGATTGTCTTGAATGAGAAACCATCTTGAAAAGTTGAAGTAAATGTTTGTTAACTCTGTATGGTTTGACCAGACTGATTGCATTTCAATGGTGAATGTAGCTTCCCTCATCCTCTTGTATCTGATGATTTTTAATAACTTTATTCTGTGAATAATGGTTGAACGGCTTCTGTAGAATTAATCGGGTATAGTGTCTTGTCTGTAATGTACTTGTTAAGCTCAAGCTTCCTTGTGCGTCTTGGATTTGTACTTCTTTTGAACTATTAGGCAGGGCTTCTTGATTGCTTTTCTGAATTTTGGATACATGTGTTTTTCTTTCTTGTTGTACATACAAAATTTGCTATGGAATTGTTAAATAGCAGAAAGAGACTGTTGTGAACAATGTACTTCAGCATTGGCAAAGATACTATCAAGGAAACTATCTTGGAAACATTCACTGTATTTTGATTCATAATGGTCTATGACTGGAAGATTTATCATTTACTCACAGTTTCATTAAGGTGCAGATCACCTAGTATAGAATCTTCATTTACAATTGAAGGAACTATTTTTTTTAGATTGTCAGTTAAAATCACGTAGGCTGCATAGATTAGTCTGTAAACAATCTAATATGATATATCTTCTTCATATAAGCATATATATATATATATATATATGTGTGTGTGTGTGTGTGTGTACCTTCGAAGAACAAATGTCGTAAGTTATTGTTTCAATAACCACAGTAACTTCAAGCTGTGTAGTGCGCAAATCCATTTCCATAATCTGCCCAAAAAAGCATCTAAGCAATGTATGGTTTCTTTCTTTTTCATTTCTAATTGATATGAGGTAAAAGTTGGCTTGTGTGTCTCGCTGCGCCATGCATCAGTACTTTCACAAGATCATCAAAAGCAATGTTAAAAAGATGAAAGTTCTGGAGGTTTGATCTAAAGTGGGGCTTTTACTTTGACAAAGTCCTGGAGAAAGTCATAGTGATGCTCTCATTTTGTAAACAATTGCTGGTATCTTTTGAATCAATTTGGATGAATTTTTCAGTAATAATATATAGTAGAAGAAAATTAATTAAACTTCATTCATCATATAAAATAAATTTTTGTGCTTCTACTTATAAAATTGATAATAGATGAAAGCTTTTGAAACTGATGAGAGAATGTTCATTTTCTGCTTAATTCTTTTTATTTTCTTCCAAGTACTTAAAAAGTGTATTCAAACTAGTATTCTAATTATCAAAACATGTTGCCACTTAATTTCATGATTGACAGATTGAGTTATTTAATCATTTCAACATCTCAGTGGAGAATATCAAACCTTTGGTCATTTCTTACGGCATGTGGTCCACTTGTGACCACCATATTTCCTTTGCTGCATAAAAATAAAAATCGCAACATGTTATTCTAAGGAGCTTCAATGTGGTCGAAAGTTTCCCTCCAAGTTTTGACCGTAGTTCACTTCAACAAGTAGAAGATTTGTTGTGACTTTAAATCGTCAAACTCCATGGCATGCTGGATGAGCATCTTTTGCTTTCTTTTAGTCAAAAGACCATGAAAATCATTTTATTTCTAACTTTCCAAGTTTCACACCGTAAACTTTCTAAGTTTCACATTTGCCCGTTTAGAATCATACCTTGGATGTCCACTACTTATACACATTTTTATCACATCTCTATATTGTGCTGATAATAAAACAAGAATAGCACACACATTCTTACCGTTTGTTTCCAAAAGCATCATGTTAAAGTAGTGATGACTTTGCTATCTGAATATCATTTTTCTTTTTCCAATGCAAAGTGATGACCCATCAAATCATGTCAACTAGTTCACACTATTCTCTAGAGATAAAATATTCAGCAGAAACTCGGTTGGTTGTGTCTTGTTGCAATGAGCTTTGAGTAAAGAAATAAGAAATAACAATGGAGCAATGCTAGTGGTGGTTTTAGGAGCATATTCAGAGAAATGAGTGAAAGAATGTAGCCCCCACCTTCCTAATATTTAAAAGGGTTTCTTGCTCTGAGGGTGGGATGAGTTTGGGTTGGAATGATGACTCAATTACTTTAAACTAAAATAATCATGCTATCTTTGATTATACTCATCTTAGATACCGCCTCTTTCTCCATTACATGGAAAAGCATAAACGTGTGCTCTGCAGAGTCACAGGGCGGCACTGCATCTGGAATAGAAAGTAATAAAGAGGGCTAGTGTATCTGCAACTTTCTACACCTTTAATATGACCCTTTTCTCACCTTCTATATGTCACCTATCGCTTATATATATATATATATATATATATATATATATATATATATATATATATATATATATATATATATATATATATATTTATATATATTGCGGACGGAGATAAAGAGAGTCACCGGTTAGGGATAAGAGAATGGACGAGTAAATTTCCGCCATGTAATTCAAATGAATGGTCAACATTAGAGTTAATTAAACAATTATGTATGATGAGGAGAGTAGATGAAATAAAAGTTTTGAAGGAAATTAAGAACAATAGTTTGCACATGATTTATAGCAAAATATTATGCATGTAACCAATTTCATATAAAAGACTTGGTTGTTGTAGTTGTTTCCTTGTACTTTTACACATTTCTTTCATGATAATAAAGGTACTCTTAGGGGAAATAGTGTAACCAATATCATCTAGTAAAAAGGACTTGGTTAGTGTTGTGATTGTTTACTGATACTTTTGCACATTTTTCATGATGAAGTAGAGAAGGTTTCCTATAAATGGTTGTTCCTCAATTGCACAAGAAACTCCTCATTCCGCAATTTACACCTCTCTAAAGGTTCTACTTCCAAGTCGCCCCTGTTCAACTTTGCATAACATCATCATTGCTTTCTCTCCTAATGCTATCATCATTCAAACAGGAATAAGCGTCAGAATGAGTCACAGTGGATACATCAATGAAAAAGCAGGTTTGTCCTTGAGACAGAACTCCAACAGGAAATCAACTAGAAATGGGCAAGTAAAGAGCTGCATGTTCAGGATTCCTTGGCAGTCTGAGACCTCTCCTGTTGAACTTGTGAAGGATCTTGCAGAAAGAGTAACTAATGCTCTACGCTTGATCTCTCCAAGGAGATCGTTACACCGAGGCTCGTCTTCGCTGACAAGATCAAAATCAGCTGGCTCCTCTATTGATTCTCATAGAACTGCTGCTGTTGAGGACTGCATTGAGTTCATCCACTCTTCCTTTTCAAGATCAAACTCCTCAACCACAGCACCCCGCCAAGATTCTATACAAGCTCCTTGATTTGAGACACTTGCAATCATGTGCTTCATATCATGTTTAAGTGTATATCTTCCTTTCTTCCCTTCCCTCATAACGATGGGAATCAAGCCATCTGTCTATGTTTCTAAGCAAACAGAACCAGTGTATATTCTTCTGATGGATTTCTTACAGGTGCCTTTCATTTCACCTAAAGTAGCAGGTTTCAATGAAACAAATGCAATAATCTACTTTTTCTTAAGAAATATTATGAAAAATGAATGGTGGGATTTCATGTTTTACTATGCACATACACAGAGACCGATAATGGAAAGGGTTAGAAAAATATGTGATGAATATGTAAAATCCGTTGCCTATATATCTATTACGTTCCTTTAGTCTTTTATGCATGGATCTTGTGGAATATATTTTGCATACCAGATTTAGTGATTCTCATTGGAGTATGAAATATTCAAGCCATGAAGAATTCCCTTGTCTCTTCAATAAATGCACGGATGAAAGTGAGTTTTATGTCGAGTGAGCGCAATATTTTAATATCTGAAGATTCTGAACAAGTATCAAGTCTGAATGATTTTATTTTCACCATTTTGCAACAAATGATACATTGATAGTGCTAATTGCTAAGGTTGTATCGGAGTTCAACTGTTAAGTGAAAGCTCAAAGAAGAAGGTTGTTTGTTCGGTTTTTGAACTGGATCTTGACTAGTTGGTCATAGATTTTTTACTTCCATCCAACTTTTGTAACTTTCCCACAAGTGAATTGAAGTAATTTAACTCCATAAGGCCATAAACAGAATAGACCATAAGCCAGAAACACCTTCACTTGAACCAACACTGGATCTTAGTCCTAATTGGACTTATCAGGTTCAATTACAATGAACATTGAGGAATTTGCAGAAAATATTCTCTTACTGAAGTGAATGACAATAATAGATGGGTACAACTTAAATAGAGACAGAATGGATATTATTCCTGAATGTTAGGAAGCAAAAATCCCTGTAAAACAGAAAAAGGAAAGACTTATCCTTAATCCTAGGATTTGATCTGCCTAATTTATTTTGAATCATAAAATCCGAACATTTACGATCGTCATATAAAGAAAGAGTTTTTAATTTGTCAAAGTTAAATTGTGCTGCTGCTTGTAACTGAATCAAAATGAAACAATTTGTTGTAAAATTTCACAACTACAAAATGGTCAATACTTAAAAAGATAAATAAATGGAAGATCATAATGCATGTATAATATATTTGAATGAGGGTCTTCTTTGATAAAAATTAAAATTACTTCAGAGAATTAAAAGTACTTTAGAAAACACTAGTTTGTATCTAAAACTCGTAAGTACTTGTATGGAAATTGCTTCAGTTCTTGGCAAACAATCCCCCAAAGCATCCTAATTCTTTTCCAATCAACAGTGTATTTACTACTTGAAAGAATCAGGACGGAGATAAATACCAGGAAAAATAAAGTAAAAGAATTGTATGATTTTAATGGACGAAAACTTTTTTTATTTCTTTAGTTAAAAAATCATAAATCTTGAACTTTTACAATCCTTTTAGACCAATACCTCAATCTTAAACAGAAATTAATTCTAAACACTTTATGATACGTTTCTATACCACAAATGTTTTGTATATTATTAGGATGGGTAGAAATGATAAAATGGTTCAAATTTGCACAACCTTAATTCGTTGTAAAAAAAATATAAAAAATACGTGCACTGTTTTCTTATATTTATATATATATATATATATATTCTTGATTTTATGAATATATTTAAATTTTTATATGTTAATTAATATTTATGTATTAAAATATTTAATTATAATCAATAATTTTTAATTAATATATGATTAAAATTATAATATATTTATATATTATAATATAATTTTTTTAATTATAATTTTTTTATTTTAATATATACTTTTTTTTTTAAATAAGTCAATGATCAACTTATCTTTGATCACTAGTTTACAAGTTAGGGAATACGGGTCAAAATACTAAAATTATTAATATAACTTGATAAGTCAATCTATTCAATCTAACTATTTTATCATCTTAATAGTTGTCTTAGGAAATTAGTAGTATTTCAACACCATTCAAAAATAAAAAAATCATTTGATCCCTTGTCTTCTCCCTTTGGATAGAAATAATTATTTGACAAGGAATTTCATTGATTTTTTAAATAACCATTCATCCAATCTACTTTTAGCATTTCATCGTATTAATAGTGTGCATCAGGAAACTCACTAGTTCTTCACCACCATAAAAAAAAAAAAAAAAAGAGTCATTTGATTCCTTAACTTAACCCTTTGGATAGAAACAATTATTTGATGGTGGATTTTATTGATCTCTTCAAATAACCATTCATCCAATTCACTTCTGACATAATCTTACCATTTGCATTATATTCACCTTTAAAAATATGATTTTTTTTTTTACATTTGAGGGTTAAAAATAAACGTAAATTATGTGATAGGACCGATTTTAAATAATTTTACTAAACTTTGTGAAATTGTATTTAAAAGCACGAGCATAGGGCTTCATGTTGAAATTGTGTCAGGTGACATGCTTTTAGTTTGAGATTTTTTTTAATCATGGTAGATAGCACGATTTTTATTTTTTTTTAACTAAAGTGTGCTGTCTAGCAAGACTTTAGGGTAATTTAAAAAAAATAGAAATATTTGATTTTTTTGCTTTAATATATTATTTATAAATTAATTAATTTCGATTTAATTATTAATTTGAAACAGAAAATAAATATATTAAGAAAACTAAGGACATAGATAAATTTAAATTAGTAAATAGTAAATGTTAAGATATTATATTATTTGAAAGAAAATAATACAAATTTATTGTCTAAATTGACGAGTTTTCATGATTATGTCCATCGAGTTTAACAAAATGAGCATTTTTTTTTGTTTATTTGCAAGTGGTAAATTTATTTCTTCTTTAATATAAGTAGTTACAGAACTTCTTGATATCTCTCGATGCATATTAGGACAAAAACAAAATTTGAATATGAATAAGCGGACCAATAATCTCCATTGTTCGAACATGATGAATGAAATTGAAATTCATACGTTTTATAAATACTTTCTAACTTGTAAATCAAATCGATAAATACAACTAGTTGTAAATGACAAGATGAATAGACAACAATAACGTGAGAACAAAGGAGTCAAAGAGCTCTGAATTTCCCACAATTACATCACCATTGATTTAATCAAATTATGTAACTTATTAATCTTCGATAATGTACATCAAACTCAAAATATTATTGATTGTACCTTTGAACATGACACATTCGAACACATTGTTCGTTTTTCTTAAGCAGTGTAGCAATATCTTTTGGATATTCATGTCTAACTCATAACATGTACTCTGTTTTCATGCATCTTTCCACAAATCAAGATATATCTCTTTCAAACATTATTTTAACTAAGGTACATGTAGGTAATTAAGGTTCGTACTTCTTTGAGAATAAAATTCATGAACTCAACAATATTTATTGTCATATGTCTATATCGCTTGAGTCTATTTTCTAATGAAATCTCATCTAATCAGGACATTTGTTGTTCAAACTCAGGCCTTAAATAAATATTTTTATTAAAAGTGTTGGTTGTTTTATCTTATATTTTGCACAGAAAAATATAATTTCATACATATATATTATTTAGAGAAATAATTTTTTTAAGGTTAAAAGATGTTACCTAGATTGATGACTTATCTTTTCAAATTAATATTTTTGAATTTTTTGTTGAAATTTAAGGCAATCTGACAAATACAATATACTAAGGTTAGATCATTCCAATCAAAGTTTTTTGTTTTGCTAGCTATGTTTTTCTATAAGTCACTGTATAACTATCCATATCTTTTACTTATGCAATCAAAGTTTTTATAAGAATAGAGATATTTGTTTTAACTAATTCATAGATAATATTAACAATGACGAGTAAAATCTAAGTTTGATGATTTAGATTTAATATTGTAGTCAAATATATATGAGGCGTTTTAATTTTTTTAATCTTTCATTGGCTACAAATCTTAGTGAATGAAACATGAACTTTCCATTGACACTCATTTAATAATTTATACAACGAACAATATATTTGTCAGTTTTAGATTCAACAATAGAAATCTATATCTCTCATCAATATGAAATTGTTTTATTGCACTTACTTGTTAATTGTTTTGACTGAAAAATACCGACCTTCCCATATATTATTCTGAACTATAATGGTTAATTGATTGACAATTGTCCAACATGTAACACAATATCATTATTCAAATACATTACACTTAAGGAAAAAATATCTTCTTGATCAGAAAAGCTTCCACAATATCTTGAATAGCAGGTTCGTCAATTGTCATGGATGAACTACTAACTTAAAATTTGATCATCTAATTCATAAAAAAAGGTTAATAAAAACATTAGCAAATATTTAAATAAACAAATTGAAAATAAATAAGTAACTACAAATAAGATTAGTTGATAGTTAATTAAACCAATTAAATATATTTGCCTTCGAAAATTTATCTTTAATAACTCAATTCCAATAAACTTATGATCTCTACACACGACAATGATATTGTTTCTAGCGTAAATAATTTGTTGTTCGATATTATTAATACAATTTATGCATTGAATTATTTAAACATTATGTGGGTTATTCTAATTTCACTCAAAGTTCAATACACAATGGATTTCAATTAAAGATTGTTCGCATTCAATTTTTATATTTAATACAATATGAAACATTTAAGATATGTCGCAAGAATAATAAAGAATTGTAAAAGTAAATTACTTGAAAAGTAAATGTGCAGGAAATTAAATAACATAAAAATAAATTTAACTCATTATCAAGGATAAAATAAGAACTAATAAAAAAAATTAATGAAAATGACGATCCAAATTACGAATAACTTTATTAAAAATGTTTGTTCCCAGTTTATAACGTATTTCAAAATGTAAGTTTTTTCGTACAATTTGACAATCTTCCTAATCACCTTTATTTTATCTTATA